CACTATTTTGGGAAAAGTAAATCAGAGAAGTTGCAGCATCATCAGGCTATTTGATTTGGATCATCGCCTCTACCAGGATAATCCTGGAAATCAGCTGTTGTTATTGTATTTGATGTGTATGAGGGAGTTTGTCCATAATGATTATCATCACATCATGATCATATTTCTCTGCTGAAACCTTTTCTTTTTAGATTTGGACAGGTGAGATTCTCAGTGATTCTCAAGAACGGGGCTGTCACACCGATCTCTGATTGTCACTGAGCCTAAACGCTGTAATTAGCATTATAGGGTCCTTTTTGTTCGCACTCAGTGGGCCATCGATGTGTCATTCACAGGTCTCCCTACCCCCTCTGAGTGCAAGATGCTGTTTTATGTCCCTGAGAAGACACAGGGATGTTATGAGCACCACGTGAATAGGCCTACAGATTTTTAAAAAAGCAAACCAATAAATGTTAACATGTCATAAATCTGACAGACTCATAGACTGTTTCAGAATGGGAGAGAGGAAGTAAGACATTAAGAATATCTTCAGCAGGGGTGGAAGAGGATCTTTTACTTGATTAAAAATAGGCTTAGCAATACTTTAGTGTCGAAATGCTCTGTTCCAAGTGAAAGCCCTGCAATCAAAATCTTATTTAAGTAAGCATATGAAAGTATTAACATAAGAATATACTACAAGTACCAAAAGTAGAAGTATTCATGATAGAGAATGGCCCATTTCAGAATCATATGAATTATATAATTGCATTATAATTATTGATGCATTTATGTGTTCATCACTTTAATGTTGCAGCTGGTAAAGATCGAGCTAATTGTGACGACTTCATTCAACATAATGCCGGGTGGCTAAAACTATAATGATATATATTGATACAAAATATTAATAAACTAAGTTTATAAGTAAGCCAATGTTAGTTTGGACAAATCGTTTTATTGATAGTATTGTGAACAATAAACAGAGACATATCTAAGATGTCTGAGTTATTAACTTAATAAACCAGAACAAGAACCAAACCATGAGCCAACTTTCTGTTCTATCGACTCAGTCTCATACTGAAGTTTAAAGTCACATTTTAGTCCTTTTATTTTGTTTTAGTAAAGATGTAGTCAGTGGAAATCACTTTTAATTTTAGTCATGAAATTCTCAGGTAGTTTCATGTATCTCTTATATATTTTGCTTCAGTATATTTTTCCTGGCTGTAAAGATGATTAGTGATAGGTAAGGATATCTTGAATTATGTGTGTAGTCATCTAGGCTGAAAATCTGTTTCTGACTTACCACACTTCTTTCATATCATATATCATAAGTGGTTCAGACACTGAACATTTTTATTATCTGACAAAACAGATATATTAGTGAGTTCTTGTGCAAAGTTTGGCGTCATGTTTCACTCAGTAGAATTGCGATTTAATAAATCAGCAGTTATAAAAATGTACTCGTTGAGGCAGAAGAGCATTATAATTATCTTAAATCCTTTATTTTTATGATGTTTAGACAACAGTTGAGCGGTTTACTGGCAGTGTGTGTGTTAAAAGGAAGTAAAGATGCACACAGAAGTCACATAGCTTGTTTGACCTGCTGTCTGTTCTCAGACAGAAGCTCTTTGCTTTGATTGCTGTTGCACATAATTCAATAATTCCCTTTGTCCTGTCCCATTATTGACTGTCGTCAGCAGTGTTTGTTCTCCAACACTAATTTCACACTAATAAAACACAGTGTTTTCCAATAATAATTGATTCACCAGTAGCTGCCAGCTGTGGATCTCGTCCTCTGTAGATAAACCTGCTGGCTATATGATAAGCTGTTTTAGTTTCAATATTTGTATGACTCATACAATGTAATTGACCATTTGACACAAGGCATCCTCTGAGCCATCCCACGCGATTCCATTCATACGTTGTTTGTTTTTAAGAAAACCTAGAAATAGTTCTACATTCGCTGGTCAAACACTGACTGTTTTGGATCCGAAGGAGAAGCGGATAACTTGCCCTGTACTCCGCCAACTTTAGCCTGCAGAAGGAAGATTCACAGAACTCCCAGAATCTTCAGAGGAAGAGAAGGATAACTTATGTGCCCCATTCTCTTCCTATTCAAGTCAACATTTGCCAATCGTGAGGAAGAAAATTCAGTTAACAGACCAGTGCCACGGCTGCCGAATCTGAGTTCACCAGTTGGGTTTCTGTGTGATAGAGTAACAGTTGCTGTATTTTACTGCGGCGGTGATGATCTGCCTTGTTTTGAGGGTTTTCCCTTTCCTTATTGTTTAACTAACCCCCCCCCCCATTGTTTGTTGATTTTCGGTAGTAGGCTCGTAATTGTCCAGTAGTAAAATACCAATTTTAAAACTTAATTTATATTTTGGTTGGTCCCTGTTGCCCCGTTATTATTAATGTTTGTTAATAATCTTATTGACATTAATAATGTCATTGATGTCAATAGTTGTCATACTTGCTTACAAACACGCTCCTACCAGATCCCAACACTCCCCTGCCACGCCCTTAGCCACGAGTAGCCGCAAGTAGCTCCTCACAGGACGCTGATTGGTCTGTGCTCTTGGCTTGCTGGGCACAAATGCATTGCTCGATGCCTGATGGATTCTTGTGTGGTATGTGAATCCAGGAGTCTTGCGTGATCAACCTCCGGTTCTGCAGAGTGAAGCCAATGCAGAAGTGACTTAAAACCTGCATTCTCTCTACTGACCATCAGGGGGCGACTCCTCTGGTTGCAAAAAGAAGTTGTATAGAAGTCTATGAGAAAATGATCCTACTTCTCACATGAATCATCACCTCAGTAAACATTGAAAACATAAGTTATGATAGACCATAAAGAGGAGTATACTTAAGGGCGGGCTTACTGTGATTGACAGGTTGCTACCAGAGACTTATACAACGTCTTTATGTCACTTCTCTGCATTCCAAATATGGCAACTTTCATTTTTTGGTTGCAAAAAAAAACCCAAGATGGCGAACTCAAGGCTTCAAAATGGCAGTCCACAAACCAATGGGTGACATCCCGATGACTACATCCACTTCTTCTATACAGTCTATGGTGCTATCACTTCATCGGCACAGCATGAATTCTGGTGCATGCACTTCTGGTGAACGTTCAGTCATCCAAATTACCTTCAGTCAACTTTGCGTAATTCTGACCTCGACCCCGGGTTTCCTCCACTTCTGCCTCTCAGCACCACCACTGTTTGTTCACTTCGGTCAACAAGACCTCTGTAATTGATTCCAATTGATTAGCAACACTTTGGGATTATTCCTCGAAGTGAATTCAGCTCACATAATGCTGTAAATGAAGCTGTTGTGGAGTATTGATTTTTTCCCAATCATGTCGAGCACACTTCTAGACACAACCGTGTTGTATGGTGAAGGAGTACTGATGGTAACTGAGCCGCTCCCACTAGAGCCCCACGCTTGTCCCTTTGGAAACTCACGTTTTCTTCTCTCCTGTCGGGCTGATGAGCTTTTGTCTGGGTGCGTATCGACCGTTTGTGTGCTGCTCGGTCTCATTTAAGGGCATTGCTCTTTGAAGCTGTGTGTTTAGTCTCTTGTAGAAGTTGTAAGATTACTGGCTGTGACATCAAAGGTGTGGTCATTTCAGTTTAACGTCCAAATGTGGTTTGGATCAGTGGTTCCCAACCTTTTCGGCTGATGACCCTTTAAAACAAAATAAAATGTATACTCATAACCTCTTCATCTGTTGTATATGGTGGTGGGTAGGGGAGCCAAAACCTGTACTTAACAGAACTGTAAAATACTTAATAAGCTAATACTTAATTAGCAAATTGTGTGCATAATAGACCATGTCAGTCTCAATCAAAAAATCTGTCTCCTATCTTTCTGAAAATGTCTAATATCAGATGATTCATTCATATGAAACAAAACAAGTTCATATTTTTTCTCGTAATTTAGTCTATATTATTTCTCTCTTCATCAGCCTACACAATTCACAGGTTGAATCCACACCGTTCCAATATTAACATTACAACAGAAAGCAGGAATTGTAGTAGTTTTGAAGAATGATATACTGTGTGGCGTGCACACGTTATTAAATGTATTAGCCATAGACTGTATATAAGAAGTAGACATAGTTATCGGGACGTCACCCATTCGTTTGTGGACTGCTGTTATGAAGCCTTGAGTTCGTCTCCATCTTGGCTTTTTTGCAACCGTTAAACGGAAGTTACTATTTTTGGAATACGGAGGAGTAACGTAAACCTAACGTTATTTTAATGTTAGTTAACGTAAATGAACATCATGCTGTATTGAAGAAGACTTGAAACTAGAGATTGAGACCATAAACTCATGTTTACAATGTTTACTGAGGTAATAAATCAAGAGAGAAGTAGAGTCATTTTCTCATAGACTTCTATATAATCAGACTTATTTTTGCATCCAGAGAGAAACTTCCATACTGGCTTCACTTGTCAGAAGCAGAGGTTGCCGCCTGGCTGTATGAGAGCATTATAAAAGAGGTGGGGGTTCCAAAATGTGAAGTTAAGTGAGAGACCAATAAATGGTCAGGCCTTTCTAAATATCAAACATGAGTTCTTCTCCAGATATTTGAATTGACAACCAAAACAGTGTCTATGAGAAGAAGGTTCAGAGCAGCCTTATATTTGGAACAGATGCAGGACAAAGACTCATTGCATCATTGTGATGTCTGAACTCGGTGCGTCAGCTACCATGTTGGCTTTTATCACAGCGCTAACATCCCCCCCTCAACACACACAGCTCATGGATTCATGTGCTCATATTTCCACATGGATAAAGAGGGCTTCACCCCAACAACGGCACTGAGGCTGAAAGAAGCATCGCTTATGTGAGCTCTGGGTGCATTCGCGTCTCGGTGCCTTTCCTTCACGAGAAACAAACTCACATTTATATTCATGCAAAAAAAATAAATAACAAAGGAAACTAATTAGTGCCACCTTAATGCACCCGTGGAGGAGCACGAGGCACCGCTTTTACAGACAAGCACAGGAAGACGGAGCTATTACACAGGACTTTAATATAATCAAATATTCTTAAATGCCTCTACTCGGCCTTTGAGTACCACTTCTCATCTGAAGCATTCAGAGGTAATACATTAATGATCTGAATCCATCATAGAACCATCTGGTTTTTGTTTTGTTGCTGTCCCGGGCCCCTTTCTGTGGCCTGCTGCTTCACTTGCTGTCCTCCTGGATGTCAAACTGTCTGGTGGATTTGGTGGACTCCAGCATGAGTTCGTACAGTTGGCCTATCTGGTCTTCCTGGAAGCTGCCCAGTTTCCCCTCCGGCAGGTTGGCTCCGAACTTGACCGAGCTGTTTTGTTCCCCCGCTGACTCCAGTACCTGAGTCTGCATGGTGGCCTTGTAGTTCTGGAGGGGGGGGGGGCACAGAGAGGAATAGCAGCAGTGTTTAGCACCTGGTCTTCTGTGTTAGTCTAAATGGCAAGTGGGAGTTTTTAAACATAAACATATTTCAACCGTAGCTCATATAATAAGTCTATAATAAACTGTGTAGCCGAAATACTGAGACTTAGACCCTTAAGGACAAAAATGTCCCAATTGAAACCCCAATTATTATTATTTTTTATCTTACGCCATTGCAGTATAATATTATGCATTCTACTATATCAATCAATCAATCAAAACGTATTTGTATAGCACATTTTAGAATCCAGTCTTTTCAATCGAAAAGACTGGATTAATAAAAGTAAGTGATGTTAAAATCAAGACAAACTGACACGAATCAGACGAATCAAAGTGCCAAGTTAAGATCAAAGGTGATAGGCCAGGGGATTCAAGATACTATAAGGTGATAGAGAAGGTGCAGTAAAGATGGTCAGGAACGTCCATTCACTCGTCTCATGATTCATAGACGAGGCCGACTGAGAATTGGATCGCGATGGTTTGTCATTTCTAAAAAAGTGGGTCCCCAGACAAAACGTTTCAGAAACCCTGCACTAGAGTACCAAATGTGGATTAATCCGCTGCTGGAAGTAGTCCCCAAAACTCTTATTTGTGTAAGGTTTATATTACTGAGCATTTTTTTTTAAATTAAACGATGGACTAATGGACTTGAGTGGGACAGTCTAAAGTGTTGACAAACTGACTATCACATTGTTGGTTTTGGTCTTTTTATGGCATTTGTTGACAAGAGAAGGAAAACTTCAGCCGTACATGACACGTCATCGCGTGAGTACTTTTAACATGTTCAACACATTGCGTCCTTTCCTTATGGAGCAGCTCTGTAGAGATGACAGCTCACATACATGGCATAACTCCAGCCAGTCTGTTTGTCTACATGTCCTATTTGTGCAGTGTAGTGGGGGGCTAACTCCCAAATGAATGCTGTTGAACTTCAAACTGATGCATTCAGGTGCATTGACCAGTGTGTTTTTGACATTAATTCCACTTTAGCTTGGATTATGTTTTCATGCTTTGATCATGAATTGATGAATAGCTCCTATTAACTTTGATTGTATGTTGCGATCATGATATGATACAATGGTTTACGTGAGTGATTGTGTAAGTGAAACACCAGGTTATGTTGGATGTCAAGCATTTCTGAGGGAGTATATTCAAATTCAAGCATATTCCTTATCTTGAAAACATAAACATTAAGATAACCAGAGCCAAAAGTATAAAAATGTGACCACAATTATTACAAGTACAGGACCCCATAATGTCTGGCTTTACACTAAACCTCTAACTGAAGTTGTATCTGTAAGATCAGACAGATGTTCTTAGAATAAAAGCAAAGTGATGGTTGACTCTGACTGATGTGGCTCAGTGACAGATGTGGCAGAGCCCCGATAGTGACAGTGTCATAGATCCTCCAGCAAGAAATAACAGCACATTTCTAATTCTCCACTAGTCCATCACAATTAGTCCTCCTTGAATGGGAAAAAGATTCATGTTTATTAATATATAGCAAACTCAAGGTTATGTTCTCTAATTTACAGCATTGACATCGCTCGTGGCCGATCTGTACACATAGATGTCCTCTCCTTACGGGGTGAACCGGCTAGTTAGCCTAATAGCCTGTGTGCGACGAGCCAAAGCTGTCGGCGCTGCGTATGAATCATCCCGAGCAGGACCACGGCCCGCCTCCATCTCTTTCACTTCTGAATAGCGGTCTGTCGTTTGAACAGAGTGCACACAGTGAATGTCTGATGTTTGCCCCTCCAGAGAGCATCTTGGGCATTCAGAACACATTCACTGCTGAGCGATAAGAAGCCGTTCATCTGAGAGGCTTCTTCCTGCACATAATGTAATTATGTTGAACATTTGCCAAAGAGGAAATATCCTCCCCGAGGCAGCTTAAAGGAACACGCCAACAGTTTGACACACTCATGCTTGTACTTTATGACTGTATCATTCAAGGCCTTAACTGGGAAAGTCTAGGTGAGTAAATGAATGGATCTATAACATTAGCAGGGCTCTGCGTGAAGGCTTCTGGTAACATCATCACTTTGGTTTTATTAAAAGCAAATCTGATGAATGCTAAAAAGTATTTTCTGGGAATGTCACCTGAGTCATGCAGCCGTCACACTCACAGTCATGTCAGGCCAGTGTTTGTTTTAAAGGGTCATTCTGTTCTTTGGTTTGAACCACACACTCATTTAAGTCGAAGAACGCTGTCAATCCCCACCTTCAGCACTCTGCACAGTTACATAAACAGTGCTGTCCATGGTCTCCACACAACAGGTAGGCGATGTTGTCACCTCATGTTTCGGCCTACAATTTGGCTTTTTTTCTATTGATATGTAAAGCTTAAACAGAGGGTGCAGAAATACATCTAACCCACACTTCAGTCCCCTCATTGCGCAGGGCCCAATGTGCTCATAATTGTTTAATCAGCAGCCTGATCAATACACTCACGTGCCGGCGCCACCAATTATGTTTAAATTGGGCCCGCTAATGGAAATCAATGTGAGGCTTGGTTTCCATCAAACACATTCCTGGTAGAGGCTCCCCTCCAACAGCCAGCTATCACTCAGCCGGTCCTAACATTGGTAGTCTGTCGGCACATCATTACCAAGCGTTAGCATGTATATGCTACGCTAGCTACCAAAGGTATACTAAATGTATACCATGCCCCCAGGAACATAATTACAAAGTTGCTGAACGGTGGAATTAGCGGGTCCATCACTTGATGCCATGGGGCCCAAAAGTACTTTTTCCCCCCATAGACTTCAATTTGAAAACAGACGCCTGTAACTCAGCAGATGACTTTTTTTGATGTGAATCACCATCAACAACACATGAATAGTAATTATCTAAATTAGGTCCAACAAGCTGTAAAATAGCTGAATCTAGAGTTGAAAGTAACTCTGCACTCAGCAATTAGTATATTTTACTTCCCCCATTCATGTGAATGAGAACGAGGCTGGACCAAGAGCTTACACTTTAGCTTCTATCTTCAACGTTTTCACAGCTGATTCAGTTTGACTTCCTGGAGAGATCCTTCAAACACATATTGTAGACCCTTCTGTCCACAATCACTTTTTTTTTTTTAAATAAAACTGTGATAATATTTATTCAGGGAGTAAAGTTAGTGACAGTGTGGAGTCCATGGCGAACAAAACTGAATTTTCCTCTTTGGCTAACAGAATTGACTAAAAACAGTGTAAAAGAAAACCCAGAGTCAAAATTTGAGTGGGATTATTATTGTTTTGTGAACTTCGGGATTTGGGGTGTTTTTGTGAAATATAAGAATATTTTGGTTTTGTATTGTTGTTGAGTTGAGTATCGATGTGTAAGGTGTACATTAGATTGGTGTGCTATCCTTATTAGATTTGATAAAAGCATTAAAAAAAGGAAAACTACAAATGAAACAAAAACTGACTGAGCAACCTAAAGAGACCTGGCAGGCACCCCTAACTAAATAATACAGATGAAAGAAATAGAACACAGTAAGTCAAACTGTCACAGCAGGTGTTTTTCTGCAATCATGTCAATATCTCTTCGTTTCCTCTTTACAATACTCCCTCATTTTTTCCTTTGCTTCCTACAAACACATTTCTCTCCATCTCTTTGGGGAACGCTTGTTCGTCCCAATGGAGCAGATTTATTACTAGCAGAGAACTCCCATGGGTGCCTCTGAAATAAATGGATTACACGCTGAACACTCAGTGCTTGTAATCTCATTGAGTCTTGCTCCGCGTCTGTTCCGACTCGTCTGTATTTTTCTGAGGAAGCCGAGATACAGAGGAAATTCACCTCTGTTTGACAGAATGGACGGAGAGGAGAACAGGACTAGGGAGACAGTCAGGGCAGAGTTTGTGTTATTCGGGCTTTGCTATACTCATTACATAACACAATGTGGTGTGTTCTCGGCAGCTATCAAATACAGCAATTGGTGCAAATGGGAAAGGCGTGTGGGAATTACATGTGTGTTGTTTACTAATACGGTGTGTGATTGGATTTCACAAAGAAAAACCTTGGTTTTGTTGAAGCTAACGGGCATCCTGCTAAATGAAATTATTTTATTTACATCTAAATTAAACAAAACGAATGTCCTGGCCTCTGGACTTGACAATGACAGAAGAGTGAATGAGCTCTGGTGTTATTAGCTATTATTTAATGCGGTTAGAGATATCTAGCATGCTAAATATCTGGATCTGTCGGGGAGCCACAGTCAAAGGGAGCGCAGGACACGGATTGAGGGAAAAGTTGGCGGAAGGGTCGCCTGTGTTGCGTTTGCAACAAGGACCAACGATAGTGTTGTTGCACCTATGGGTGTTGGATGTTTGCATGAATAAACATAACACATACAGTGGGGCAAAAAAGTATTTAGTCAGCCACCAATTGTGCAAGTTCTCCCACTTAAAAAGATGAGAGATGCCTGTAATTTTCATCATAGGTACACTTCAACTATGAGAGACAGAATGGGGGCAAAGAATCCAGGAAATCACATTGTAGGATTTTTAATGAATTAATTGGTAAATTCCTCAGTAAAATAAGTATTTGGTCACCTACAAACAAGCAAGATTTCTGGCTCTCACAGACCTGTAACTTCTTCTTTAAGAGGCTCCTCTGTCCTCCACTCGTTACCTGTATTAATGGCACCTGTTTGAACTCGTTATCAGTATAAAAGACACCTGTCCACAACCTCAAACAGTCACACTCCAAACTCCACTATGGCCAAGACCAAAGAGCTGTCAAAGGACACCAGAAACAAAATTGTAGACCTGCACCAGGCTGGGAAGACTGAATCTGCAATAGGTAAGCAGCTTGTTGTGAAGAAATCAACTGTGGGAGCAATTATTAGAAAATGGAAGACATACAAGACCACTGATAGTCTCCCTCGATCTGGGGCTCCACGCAAGATCTCACCCCGTGGGGTCAAAATGATCACAAGAACGGTGAAC